CTCTTTCCCCGCATCCTGAAACAAATAGCAATATTTTGGCTAATTGCTTAGTAAATCTCACTCAAAATTGTTCCAAGTTATTCTTCAACAAGTTAGCAATCGATTAAAAAAATTGTAACTATTCCTCTTCCTTTCAAAATTTCTTATCCTTTATGGCTTTTAATCTCGTGTATCTTTATATAAATTTGTGAAACTTAGGTTTATACATGCTCAAATTCAGCCAAGGTGTCCTAATCAGCAATTGATAGGATACATGCAATATCCTCGTACCTTCCACAGACCATCACTTGCCAAAATGATGAATTCAGTGTCGTCATCAATATTTCGAATTGTCACATCTGGTTCTGCCGTAATGTGCTCCTTCAGTTTTCCATCTCCAAATGCTCGAGTCATTGCTAATTGCCCATCCACTCTTGGAACATTCCCTAATTAAATCATTTTTTTTTGGCAATTTAGTTGATATTCAGTAGTGGACTTGGACGGAGCTAACACAAGTTCACGAATAAAAATATACATAATAAAATCAAACGAAAAGAAAAGATAAGGCATACAATTGCATGTTGTCAAGCATTAGTAAAGGCTAATTGTTCTTTTACATCTACGTCCAGCATGACAGAATTATAAGCCCCAATTTCACAGACATCAAGATTTAACATTATACAGAAGTATCTGGCAGAGATATATATATATTTTTACCCTTTAAAAGCAGGTGTCAAACTAAGAAACCTGTTTGAATGATCTACCTATATTGGCACTATCGTGAAAAATGATGCATATGTCAAGATATAATTTAAAATTTGATTTTCAAGTTCAAAAAGAGAGAAGATTTTAGTGATCCAAAAATGAACTTGTTTTCTTGAATGAACAAAAAGGTAGAAGCTTAACACTTGTAGATTTTGATGAAATTATTTCGTCATTACCAGGTTTCTTAGACACAAAACCCCCTCTGCTCTCAATAAGATCTTTTTCCTTCTCTGGTTCATGATCCACAGTAAGTGGCTTTGCTCGACCATTTTTGCAGGATACTGCTCGAGAATCACCAACATTGGCTACCAGTAGCTTTACTCCATTAATTAGTATTGCTGCAACAGCTGTTGATCCTCCTCGTGAATCAGCTATATTTTCTAAAATCTCATCATCTATTGCTTTACATGCTTTCTTAACAGCATACACCGGATTTTCCCAGAAATCAGGCTATCCATTCATATTTAAGAAATCAAATATTAGTGAGAAAAATAATAATGATGGCTGAAATATAACACTTACTAAAGGATATACCTCACTCAGTATATTTTCAAATAGATGGCTTTGCAAGTATTTTGCAACTTCATGACCGGAGTGGCCATCAAATATTGCATACAACCCTAAGTCATAACCATTGAGATTCCTGTGTTGAGCAAAAATATAGTCTTCCATTCCATGGTTCATCAGTCCTTGGATCAAGTGATATCCATGGATGAAATCTCGTGTAGAAGGCATATTCTTTTCATCTGCATCTTTTGTGAGCAGACCTTTGTGATGTTGCTCCTGTGCTCAGAATAAGTTTCTTTGTGAGCTTCAAACTTATTTTTAGACAGTTATTTGAGTTTTATTAGAACATGCGCGGAAATGAAGGTTTTTAGAGAATGAAAAACTAAAATGTTTAATCAAGAAGTGTCAAGCTTCAACAACTATTTCTCATAATCTGTCGACTGAGAAAAATCAAGTGGATACCTGATATATTTCAATGATTGCACAAAAGCAATGCTAAAATCCCTTTAAGAGCGAGAAATGATCATTTAAGCGCAAGATGTAAATAGCTTGCTAATGTAACACGACACTATATGAAACCGGAAGGAATGAGAGGCTACGATTCGTTGTAGAAATCTAGTGTTATACGAACTTGTGGACATACTGATTGCTGAACAATTGGAAGATACACTGTTAAGCTTACGCTAATATTCTTTAGAGACATTACCAATAAATTGTACATAAATGAAGTAGTAAGAATGAATATCATGACAAGATGTCCTTGGACTTTGGAGAAATATAGGATACCTCCGTAGCATTTGGACCATCATCTCCTGGTATGTATTCTGCTTCCTCTTGATGATCTTCCACTGCATCATTATCTCCTGCATTTTCATCATCTGTGTCGTCGCGAACATCATTATTATCTTCATCTTCATTATATTTTTCTTCTCTAGTAAATTTATCCTCCGGCTCCTGTTAAATGCCAAGTAAAAATTTGTTGGTTAAGACAATGAGAAAGGTACACTACCAAGGAAATTAATCAAACTCAATACTTTGGCAACTAGGAATTTAGCCCAAATTGAAACTTATTTGAAGTCAACCAAAAAAGAAATGGACAGATAGGAATCAAATACAGGTGGCAAAATATGGGATAATGTACTGAAAATGTGGTAGAAGATTTTGAAGGAATGTCTGATGATGGGAGAGACATAAAATACTTTATTTCTTTGACTCTAACTTAAACAATTCTAAAATTAACTTGAATGTCCATATTGCATATTCTGACTCGAATCTCACAAAGAAGTGAAAGAACGTTGGCGAATCCATTGTGGTAGTTGCATACCAAGTAATATTAGCACTCTTCCACTGTATATGGACACACGTAACTACCCCATCATCATACTTTCATTATATTGAAATGATAATGAATAGAACAAGAATGAAAGAGGATTACCTTTCTTTCAAGAGAGTCCACATAGTTTCCCATTCTTGATCTCCTCTTCCAATACGAAGGAATCAAATTAGAACATCTCAACATCATTCCATATAAGCTCATAATATCAGTGAGAGAGGACAATAAACCACAACCACTGTCGTGCTAATTTACTGCTGGGTCATACTAATTTTTAGGAACGTATTCAAATTCATTTGCGATTCTGGTCAAGCAGAAGTATACAGTTGCGTTAAGAAAGAAATGTTGATAAACAGAAAAAAAAAATCATGTACAATCTGGTTCTTAGACATGACAGTTTCCTTCAGCCAGTAAAACAAATTCAATCAGACAAATCCAATTGCCATGGTTCTATATTGTCCTTTTGTGGGCAAGCAAAGAATACACACAGTTATGGATGTACTTTTCACGCCTGAGGGTAGGTTTGGATGAAAGAGTTTGGATAGCAAGTAAGGAGGGATTATTCTGTTTTGAGAAAATATCCAAACATACCCTATAGGACACATAAAAGTTGCATGGATATACCTTGAACGAAAAAGGATGCCCATCACTAATCAAGGCAGACTTTCTTTTTCGCGAGTTAGAATGGGTCTGCTCAAGACAACAAAATTACATATTAAGCTCGAAATACTTAAAAGAGTGAAGACTTATGCTGCACTAAGTCATCACTTGATGTCAATATACAATTTATTTGGATTACACTAACTAGAATTTCTTTGCATAACCTTTGGTTGTGAACAAATGGAAGAGAGGAAAGATATTCTCCTAAAGACCTGGAAATATTTGGAAAGGATAAAGCTAAAATCCCCAAATGTTCACTTTCTTGTAATTTTTAGACAGCATATAATCTGCAGTTCACTTAATACATTAAGTAACTACATGTAGGCATATACACACACGTTCCTCTTTTTCACCAAAATGATGACAAACCTAAATGGGGTGTCACATACATTAACCCGCATCAAGCATGAAAGCAGTGTACCTTCATCATATTGTCTTGGTTGAGTTCAGAACTTGAGGATAAACAAAGGGTGTTGAGAGTTTGAGAAGAAATGAAAACATGGTGAATTATAAAGCGTAGAGGTTACTCGTATTATATGTTTAGTATGTGCAAGTGGCGGGTGTCTAAGGAGTTAGAAATCCTTGATGGGAAAGGAGGGACACGTGGTTAAAGAATGCATGGGACAGTGTCCTTCACCGCTCGAGTTTCATTTTCCAGACTTCACAAGAATCATTTTGATACATTCACTACAACAGCAACATGCACTGCACTTTCAGGAATGATGTTTTACCCTCCATTTTAATAGGATATTCTAAGCCTAGTCGGTGATTGCGCTTATAAAAAAAATACTTTGTATGGTTTTCGGGAAACATTTAGCAGTTGGAATATAGGACTTATCTGTTCTGGCTGTAGCAAATAAAGTAGCATTTCTACTATATTATACAAATGGACAATGTGAATAAAACCCAAAACAAGTTAAAAAAAATAGCTTGAATTTGAGAGAAGTGAATCACATTTTATATGCTACAACAAAACAATTGTACATCATGTTGACAATGTTTCAGAATCCATTTTCTTGTCTTGCACGCCCATTTTTTCTCTTTCAGATTACTACATTCCTTCATGTCCTGGGTGAATTGTGTAATGAATTTGGGAAGTTTTTTGGTGAGGTAGATTTGAAATGAAGTTTTTGATTAGGGCCGAAGAAGAAGAAATATTCATCTCATGTCCAATGACGATGCATGTAGAAGAGAGTGGAGTACTATCATTTTACACATATATATTTTTTATTAAAAAAATAATATTTTAAAAATAAAAATTATATTTTAATAAAATAAATATATATTTAAATTATCATATGTATAAAATATAAATTTGGAAGA